TTACGTAAGGACAAAAACGGTGGGGATGGGTTAGGTAACTTTCGTCCTTTAACTATGTTAAACACAGAGTTAAAGATTTTGGTTATGGTCTTAGCAAACCGTTTGTAGGCTGTCCTCTCTAGTCTGATTGGCTCCGAACAGACTTATGCTGTGAAGGGCAGGACTATTCAAAACAACCTTCATATGGTACGCTTGATCATCAAGTAAATCGACAGTGAAGCCGCGCTGATCAATTTAGATCAGTTCAAGGCCTTCGATAGGGTTGACCATCGCTTTTTTGTAGCTGTCCTTTTGGCAACCAGTTTCATGCCATACTTTCGCACATGGATCCAACTTCTGTATACAACCCCCAGTGCGCTGGTGGAGGTGAATGGAGTACGATCAGAGTATTTCAAATTGTCTCGCTTCGTTCGTTAATGTTGTCCGCTTTCGCCTTTGCTTTACGTTCTTGTGTTGGAACCTTTCCTTTGCAAGTTAAAGATGAATCCGGTCATACGTGGAATTTCCTTACCTGGTGCTACTACCTTGCCCAGGTATTCCGCCTATGCTGATGACGTTTTGGTTCTTGTGTCGAGCAGGACCAAGATTGATGAAGTCAGCAAAGAAATCAGTGGTTATGAGATGGTGACGGGCCAAGATCAACTGCTATAAGTCTGTTGGCTTGTGGTTGGGTGCGTGGAAGGGAGTTTCCCTTCCTGGACCTTTCCTCTGGATGGATGGGCCAGTCAAGATTCTCGGTGTCTGGTTCGGTCCTGATATCCAGTTGGAAATGAATTGGTCGGAGGTGCAAGAGAAGGCTGAGATCGCAAATTATTTGTGGTCTTGGAGGAATCTTTCCTTAAAGGGGAGGGTGGAAGTATGTGTTTCACACATCTACCTGATTCTCCTTTACCGACTCTCTGTGCTTCCACTTCCATCTGACACTTTACTGGCATTAGTGAGGCTCTTGTTCTCCTTCTAGTGGGGAGGCAAGGCCGCCAGAGTCTCTTGGGTGATCTATTGCCTTCATCCATCTGAAGGCGGTCTAGTATACTTAGCATTGAGATTCGTCAATATATGCTTCACATCAGGTTCCTGGATCGAATGTGACACAAATCAGATGAAGTGGGCGCCTTCTGGAAGGAAGACGCCCGTAAGAACTTCCCACCCATGAGAAGTGTGAACTCATGCGAGGAGGAGGCCCACCGTTTACCCCAACTCGAGTGCTCCTTCTACTGTGAATGTCGTTGTGTTCTGAAACACCGCTGGATGATCACTCCAACGCCCAGGTGTTGTCTCATAAGGCATTATATCAGGTGTTAGTTAGGGGGGCCGTTCATGATGAACTGATTGACGAGCTCGGTCTTATGAAGCAGGAGGCTCTTTGCACAGCGGCCTTGGTGAAATATTCAAACTACTGGCGATGTAGTGGGGAAGTTGAGATCATTGGTCACGCCTTCTTTCATTGCAGGGTGGTAGTGCTGTTGTGCACGTATGTTGAAGGCTTCATGGTTCCCATGCTACCTGGAAAATTCTTTGTCCTTGAGGCCGCTTCTGTTTGTAGCAATGTGGCTCCGTCGCTGACGAAGGCTGAACATTATGTGTTCTTATGCTTGCTAGGTGTTATGAGAGTCATGATTTGGACGACACGTCAGAAAAGATTCTATGAAGCCGAGAAGTTCACTTCTTCCCAACTGATCTTATACTTTAAGCATCAGCTTAAGGTTAAGATTAGGACAGAAAGACTCACTTCATCAGAATTTGGCAAAAGGTGGGTGAATCTTGTGCGTTTGTCTCATGTGAAAGGGTCTGACCTGGAGTGGCACTTTGATGCTGGTAAGGCATCAGGATATTGTTTTCCTGGGTTGAACACGGGCAACCCATCCCAAAATTAGGTTAGCTTAGATTTTTGTTTTTTTCAATTTTTAGTTTCCTTTTTCTATAAACTTGGCTAGGGTATGTATGCTCATTGGCTCCTTTTATTTCTGTCCCTAATTTTCTTTAAGTTTAATTCCCCATCCCCTCTCTCGGTAGGTGGTCAGTGATGTCAGTTTTCTGGTGGATGCAGGGCATCTTCCGTTTTGTACATGTGTTTTCGTATTTTGTTGTTGTGTCTGAATGAGTGCTTGGGATGAACGGATGTTTTATATTATTATAGTTTTGCATTAATTTTGTCTAGTTAACTGATGTTTCTGCTACATTTAGTGATTATGGGGGGTGGTTATTACTAACATGATTTTGTTTAGTTTCTTGTAAATAGTTTTATTTCATATTGTAAATATTCATTGGGGCTAGTTTTTAAAATTTTTAAATTGTTGTTTTATTCCCCACACCACCACAGATGATAAATTGTACATATGGGGACTAGTTAGTATTTTTATGGAGACATTGAGGTATTATGGTGGATGTTGTGAGAAAGGTATGTAAGAATGTGTTGTTTTGGTGCAAGGAATATTGTTAGTATGATTGGGTCTAGCTAAGTTAAAGTTAAGACAGAAGAACATCGTTTTTCCCCCCTCCCACATTTCAGTCTTGTGCTACATATTCTGTTAACAGAATTAAATAAACTCAGTTGAATAAAGCATTCTTAAAGCCTACATCTGCGTACTTTTGTCATTACAACTTGTTAACAATGAAAACATTTATTTTTCTTCTTATTACAGAATGAAAAAAAAGCTGTTATTGAAAAAATCTTTTTTCCAAAACCATTCAATAAATATTTTAGAAATACTCAACAAAAATTTTTATATAAAGCAAATTTATCTTCACTTATTGCTACTAAGCAGATTATTTCAATCATTAACCTGGACAAAAATTAATTCTTATACTTAACATATTAAATCTCATAATCCTTATATAGTGCACTTATATATTAGTAAAAGTAATCATTCAGCTGACACATAAATCAGATAAAACTGAATACATAAGAAAATTTTAATACTTAACAGTATAATGACAACTATAAATATGCAACATGAATACTTAATTGATTTAATGTAAATGTTATGATTTTGTAAAGTCATTTAAGACAGTGTAGATTTGAGATTAGTATGAAAGTAACTATTACAATGAGGTTAATATTTTATTTCCTAGTACATACATTTTTTTAAAGCCTGAAGCTGCAGAATGATTTTAGAACTTTATTCATATATAAACTTGTAGAGAAATGTAGGCATGAACAAAAGTTGGAATGATAAGTCTGAAACTAGTTAATCTTGAGCAATGATGTTATGTTTTGAGCAGAGTGGTCAATAATCAATAATATTTATGCATATGTAGATAAAATGAAAATTAATAAATACATAATATTTAATAGCTGGAATGAAAAATGTCATTCAATTCCTAAAAGCAGTTTAATATACAGTGTGAAAACTGTATTATAAATATATACTCAATATGCAGTATTCTTACAGCTTAATATTGAGAGTTCTTTGAGAAAACATTTTGTATCAAAAGTATTTTTTAAATTTACTATAAACAGAAAACTGAACTATCAGAAAAGTTGCAGTCAACAACAAAATTATTTGTACACCCATCAATTTTCTAATATTTTCATCCATTTCTCAGAATCTAATACCCATATGATGCCAGGTTTTTTTATGTTAAGCACAAAAAAGGAATATAAAACTCAATTTTCATAACAATAGGTTAAATACAACAAATTTGACAGGTGAATTATGCAAAATAGGAAAAGACAAAATTATTCATACAGTATGAAAAATATCATTTTAAATTGATTGATTTGTGTAAGTAATTTACATAATTATTTTATTAGTGAAGCCTTCTTGACTATTTATTCAGTAACTTCCACAAGTTAGATATCCCTAGATCTACAGTACAGTCCGTTATAAAGAAGTTTAAACAGTTTGGCATGACAGAGAATTTGCCTGGGTGTGGAAGTAAACTCAAATTGTCACCAAGAACTGCATGCAAACTGTGTTGTGAGGTTAATATACACCCAAGAGCTGTTTTGAAAGATGTTGACAAAAGTTTGGATACAATGGGTATCTGTGTAAGTATTCACACAATACAATGTTGTTTAAATAGAAATGGGTTGTGTGGAAACTGACCACGACAAACCCCTCTTCACAAGCCATATCACATTGTTGCTTGGTTTAATTTTGCCAAAATGTTCTTGGACAAAAAAATTGCTTTTGGGAACAAGTACTATGGAGTGATGAAAATAAAATTGAGCTTTTTGGACATAATGATGCACAGAAGATTTGGTGCAAGAAAGGTGAGGCTTTCCTCCTAAAGAACACAGTGGCAACATTAAAACATGGAGGTGGATCAATGATGTTTTGGGGTTGTTTTAGATAAAGGGGAACTGGACAATTAATTGTGATAAAAGAATAATAATAAGAATAATGAAATCTGTAGACTATATCAAAATTCTGGATGAAAATCTACTACTATCATCATAAAATCTTTATCTAGGTCAGTGATTTACTTTCCAGCAAGATAATGATCCCAAACATATGTCTAAGTTAATGACTGCCTGGCTTCAGAAAAAGAAGATTACAGTTCTGCCATGCCCTTCAATGAGTCCTGACTTGAATCCTATTGAAAATCTATGGCAAGAATTGAAAGTATGAATAAATCATTGGTCACCAAAAAACTTTCAGGAATTAGAACATGTAACCATTGAAGAATGGAAGAAAATCCCAGAAAAGACATGTTCAAATATTATCAAGAACTTTAGAAAACAATTGCAGCAAGTTATAAAGATGAGAAGCCATGCAGTAACTATTATTATTGTGAAAATTGTTCAATTTTTCTATTTTTCATACTGGATGAATAATTTTGTCTTTTTCATATTTTGCATGATTTGACAGGCAAATCATGCAAAAGTATCTAACGTATTTTCTGAAAATTGAGTTTTACATTCCTTTTTTGTGCTTAACATAAAAAAAAAATTCTGAAAATGGATAAAAATGTTAAAACTTGATGGATGTACAAATAATTTTGCTGCTGACTCTATACGGAATGCACATGGAAGGTTGTTGATAACTGTAACTTACCTCTTTTAAAGCTGCATAAGCAACTTCAGCAGTTGAAAGTTCTTTGGCATATGCTGCCATTGCTGCTAAACATGCCCATAGCATGTCCTCCTGAATAAAAATGAACACATGTTTAATGCTAAATACAGATTTTGACAGCATTTTAGTTCTTTGATAAAGTTTTTAATGTTAGGGTGAGTGGAGTTACTCCATGCAATATAAAGATGCTATAAATGAGATTACTATGAAGGAACAAGAAAAAATTTATTGAGTTGGAAACAAGACAAAGAGAGAAATGTGCTGCAAGATTAAATAAAAATTGATAGCATAACATAGTTGCTCTAAATGAAAGCTTTACTTACAAAATAAGTGAAAGAAAAAAACAATGGATTTTTAGGTTATTCAATGCAATTTAAACCCACATGTTCTGAATTTAATGTTTTCATTTCTCTGATAAATCAGACAGGTTCCTTATCATTTTGTTCTGAATATTTTTGTAAGCTTCTTGTGAATCTGCCTGGGTGTGGAAGTAAACTCAAATTGTCACCAAGAACTGCATGCCATTTGTATTACTGTTTTTTCTGTGTTTAGTGCAATGTAGCCATCATCAAGTTATTCTATACCACCTTTGAACTAGTAAAATCAGTCATTTCACTTTCACTCTATTTAACTGTACTATTTGAAAGGAATTTTTTTTTTCTATCATGGCTTTAGCTAATCTGAATATATCCCCACCAATTTTCAAGAAAAGAGATAATTATGAAAAATGGAAGAACAAAAGTTGGACAAATCACTAATTTAGAGAAAACAAAACAAGGACAGGCAACAGCCCTTACTGTCAATGAAGATGTGAAGGATGCTGTCCTACAATTGGGAATAGACAAAATTCATAATGAGGAAGGAGTAAAAAAAAACATCATAGAAGTCCTAGATAAATGGCATCTAAGGGATAAAACTCAATTGGCTTTCAAGGCTCTTGAAAAATTTGAAAATTATAAAAGACCAAAGGAACTTTCAATAACAGATTATTGTAATGAATTTGATAAACATTACAATATGGTGAAATCCTACAGCATGTGAATATCTGAGACGTCTTTAGGTTTCATTTGTTGAAATCAGCAAATTTTCTTCATAACCAAGAACAATTAGCAAAAACTAGAATTAGTGTACTTATCTATGACAACATGAAATTGCAACAAAAAAAAGAAATCATGAATCGGGATGACTCTTCACATCCACAAATAAAAGTAAAAGACAATATTCAATTTGAAGAAACAGATATCTTCTATGGCTGTATTAGTAGTAGACATGGTCAATACCATAATAGACCTACTTGTGGTTGGAAATATCAAAGACCATACAGTGGGAGAGTTGGATTTCAGTGGAAGAGGGGGAGATATCCACTTAATTGATTTGGGAACCCATCTAGGCGTGTGAATGTGGGAGCATTAATCATTACATTAACAAATGCTCAATTGGAGAATTTAATGAACAAAATATATTCTAACAAGAAGATGAAGAAGGTATCTACTATCAAATAACCTTATCACAATCTGTTTATAGCAAACCATGTCATAACGAGTCACTGGTTGGAGGGCCAATGAATTGTGCTATTTTAGACTGTGGTGCTAGTGGTATGGTGTGTGTGTTGAAGTATGATCTAAGTGTTACTATGATTTCTTTGGATGAGAATGATAAAAAGAAGTTAATATGCAAAACAAAGTAAAAATGCCTTTAAATTTGGAGATAGCAAACATGTTCTTTCTTTATAACTCACTTGTATTCTAGCTATAACTGGTATGGTTAAAGTCCTGATTAACACAGATATTTTAGGTAGTGATATATCATTGTTACTCTCTAAACAATCTATAAAGAAAGCTGGGATGAAATAAAACTTTGAAGACACAGCTGAAATATTTGAGCAAAAGATCAATTTATGTGTAACACAATCTGACCATTATGCTCTTCCATTGTGTAAATTGCAATATAAAAGAAATTGAAATATCAAAGAAATCCTTTCATTAAAGTTACACTTTCTTGTGACAAAACCTTAAGTGCTCAACAAAAGGCACTCAAATTGTATTGTCAGTTTGCTTCTTCTACATCTGAATTGAGAAACTGTTACAATTAATAAAAAAATGCTTGTAAAGATGAATTTGAATTTCAAGCTGCAATCATGAAAATATCACAAAACTGTCAAGTCTATAAAGATTACCGGAGATACCCACCATGGCCAGTTGTTGGCTTATTGATGGCAACTACTTTTGGTGAATGCACATTTATGGATTTGAAGAAATTTAGGGGTGTCCATCTATTTCACCTAATAGATCATGCTACTAGATTGTCAGCTTGTGCCACTGTGCAAGCAAAGAGGCCTGTAGAGATTTTAGGAAAATATTTTGCATATGGATCATTGTTTATGGTTGCCCTAAAAAGTTTGTCAGTAATAATGGTGGAGAGTTCTTTAATGAAGCTTTTAGGGAACTTAGTGAAAAAGTTAATATCACCATACAGACAACTGGCGCAGAAGCACCATGTTCAAATGGTTTGTGCAAAAGATATAATCAAGTTCTTGGTGAGATACTGACTAAAACAATGGCATATATCGGTTGCAGCTTTGATATTGTTATAGTGTGGTGCATTAATGCTAAAAATAGCTTTCATAATGTACATGATTATTCTCTATTCCAACTAGTTTTGGGAAAGACTCTAAGGATTCCCGGAATCTTGGCTTACAAACCACTTGCATTTGATGGTAATACTTTCATTTAGAATCATTTTGAACAATCTCAATGCTCTACACAGTGCCAGACAGGTCTTTGTTTCAAGTGGGTCTTCTGAAAAGCTTTGTTGTGCACTTTGTCACAATATTCACTCAAGTAGTGATGTTAAATTTTTTACTGGTAACAAAGTATACTACAAGACAATAACATGATACATGGAGTGGATCAGAAGTTGTTCTTAGTCAGGATGGACAAGTTCTGATCAAACATGATAGTATTTAATGTCAGAGTACACCCATCAAATCCAACCAAATTCTACATAGATCAAGCTGCACCAATTTCAGAAACTAAAAATGAGGATACTGACTTAAGTCCAGAATCACCCCAATCAGATGATACTACTACAGAAACTCAAATAATGGAAATATTTGAAACTGAAGCACTATAAGATACTCATAAGGCCAAACATAAAGAATAAGAGAGTTGTAAGAAAAATGATGTTCATAATGAAGTTGAGAATAATGGACAAATCTATAAGATAGGTTATAACAAAAAAACTTATTGATGGAAAGTTGCAAACAAAAGCTAAGCTATTTGCTCAAAGATTGAGGAGACTAGTATATTTAAGACAGATAGTCCCACATGTATGTGGGGAAAGTGTATAAATTGTTTTGTGCCTTATTGCCATAAATTCATGGGTCCTTCATTCTATCAACTATAAAACAGGTTTCCTACAAGGAAAACCAATTGATAGAAGCATTTATCTTTGTCTGTGTTTTGTTATGCAAATATTTTATTTAATCCATATAAACTTGTTTAAATATAATTTAAAACATATGAGGCACTTTCACACTTGCTTGTTAGCCCAAATCAAAATTTGCTGAGAGTTTACTTGAAAAATTACAATGCAAATAATAATAATAATAATAAATGGCATATGAATATTTATAAAGTGATTGCACAGCTCTTTTTTTCTGTAGCATATATATGGTGCAAGTATGTATGATTTCTATTTCTTTTGAGATTAATATGTAAGACTTGCAGACTTTACAATTGGTTCATGTACCCTATATGACACCATAAGGTCTCCACCATTTAAAATAGAGAAAGAAAAATCACTCTATTTACAGCAAAGTATATGTTGCTACATTATAGCAGAAAAATACTTAGAAAAGAAATACAACTAGGACAGCAGGCAAAATCTTTAATAATAATTATAAGGCTGTAATGATTTTTTTATAACAGAAATCAGAAGCCTCAATCTTACGTATTTGAGATAATATTTATTGGAGTCATTTTTTTTTTTTAATGAGAAGTGGCCTTTGCACGTCATGAAAAATGGTAACGTTTCAAAATACTCCCAATAAAATTTTAGCAATAAAACCAAGATAAAAAAGCCAAATATTTAATTCCAAACAGCAACTGATGCAAATGTCTTAAGTGTTAATGTTTTTAATAAATTTTATTTTTTGAAAAGTAATTATATCAACTGAATTCCAGTCAATGGTTTATTCAATCAATAAGTTGTTTACCTTGATTTGAGTGTCATTCTCCTACATAAATCTGAGACATGTCAATATTCTTCACTTAATTTAAAATTACAATAAAACTGAGATGAATTGAGCAAAACAAAATTAAAGATTTTATTAGAATGCCCTAAAAATATTAGTAGTACATACAATACAGATCAATCTTAAGCCAGTGATTTATTTAAAAAAAAATCTCTATATATTTTAATATTGGCATAACATGTGCTGAAATATATATTAAATAAGCAATATATGTTTTATTTTGAAACCCTAGCATCTCATACATGAATTGTGTTTATAACATTTCTATATTAAAATACTGATGTGAAGTCGAAGTTTAGCACTAGTCAGTCGCTAAGCTTGTCTTCATCCCATGTTATTCTCAGTGACGAGTTATATAGGCTTTCTCTTGCACTTATGCAAATTAGGCATATTAATTTGCCAGTGTCACTACATCTCCCTGAAACGTTTAGGTTTTATACCTCTAGTAGTTCTTGTACTTCTTCTCGTGATAGTTTCATTACTTTGCTCTACTTCTCTCTCTCCCATATTTCTTTTTCTGGGAGACCTAGATCTGTCCCATGCTAAGCTGTAATCATAGGCGTCTTCTTGCATTATTTGATCTTCGTCCGAACTTTCAAAATCATTCTGGCCCACTTGATCCTGCATTATTTCATCTTCTGATGTTTCATTCTGTAACAGTTGTTCTAATAAATCATTAACGGACGGAATCGTAAACATTTCTTCATCATTTTGCTCTTCATATTCAGTCTGGGTCCATATCTGATCTGCATGGGCTAATACACTGTTGCCATTTTCTCTATTTATTATAGCTGTATTGTGGCCTTTTTGCATGATA